CTCCTTAGAACGTGCAGCAGATTGTCTATTTGCTAGAATCCTGTAAAATTGCACGAAAAAATAACTCTATTTAAAGCTGAAGCTTGCAATTTGGTTTTAGAGTTCTTATCCAACAAAAGCATACTATTATTTTGAGAAAAGAAAAGAGAAGACCAAAAGTAAATGCTGCCATGAGATCTAATAAAGAAACAATGCAATTATGTCCTTTTGTAAGAAAACTTTCAAATTCCAACAACAATAACAACAACAACAACAACCCAGTGAAATCTCACAAGTGGGGTTTGGGGAGGGTAGTGAGTACGTAGACCTTACCCCTACCCCGAGGGAGTAGAGACGTTGTTTCCGAAAGACCCTCGGCTCAAGAAGACGAAAAGAGACAAATATATCAGTACCATCAACAGAAAATATAGAAATAATAACAGCGACATAAAAACCAGAAAATAGATGAAAAGCAATAACAATAACAAGTAAATAAGGCCATGTACTATGTACTATGGAAAACGGAAGAATAGTGTAAACACAACATTAACCAATAGCAATCTAAGACGAAACCCTATCATGCTAGCCTCACACCAAGTACGAAGTAGAAATTGCTCAACTACCTCCCCTAACCTACAACCCTATTGCTCGACCTCTATACCTTCCTATCAAGGGCCATGTCCTCGGAAATCTGAAGCCTCGCCATCTTTTGCCTGATCACCTCTCCCCAATACTTCTTAGGCCGCCCTCTACCTCTTCTCGTACCCGCCAAAGCCAACCGCTCACACCTCCTAACCAGGGCATCTGGGCTTCTCCTCCGCACGTGCCCGAACCATCTGAGCCTCGCTTCCCGCGTCTTGTCATCCATAGGAACCACGCCCACCTTGTCCCGAATAACTTCATTCTTAATCTTATCCATCCTAGTGTGCCCGCACATCCACCTCAACATCCTCAATTCAAATTCCAAAAGTTGAAAAAGATGCTTCGTACTTAATCAATGATTCCAAGTTTAATCTTCATTCACTAAACATTCAGCAGCTTAAAACATTACAGCCTCCTTCTATTTGGCTCGATATGAAGCTGTATCACCATGAAAGGTGCAATAGCATCTCTTTCTCAACACAGTAGCTTGACTTCTCTGTTAGGAGCTACTAGTTAGACTGCAATCAACTAGTTTGTTTGTTTTTTTTATTCCTTTTAATATGCAGATGAGAAAGAAAGCCAAAACCCAAGAACTGCAACTACCATCTACTTCATGAATCATAGCAAGTAAAAGACTTTATCGACAGCTGAAGTTATGCTATCTAGGCACTCCAAAGAAACAACAAATAACTTAAAAACCAAGACCTGCAAGTACCATCTGCTTTTCACCATTTTCTCACCATAAACCATTTCATAACGAATTTAACTGACCCAATTAAAGGTTTTAAAACACATTTTTCCTTAATCACTTCGGGAAAGAAAAAAACAAATTAAGCCCAAAATGATTCCAAATTCAAGCCTAAACCAAAAAATAAATAAATTACAACCTAAAATTCTAACAGTGCATTAAACGTAGAAAAAGTGGATAAAAAGAAAAAAGAAAAAAAAGATGTAACCTTTTGGCTCTCTTGGGATCAATCAGGGAGAGCTCAGCAAGCTTATCAGGAGCCATAGCCTTCTTCACAGAAAGCGATTCAGACTCAAAATCAAAAGACCCATCCATGGAATTGCTATGCCTATGACGTGGGCCACCACTCATCATCTTATTCTCCGCCGCCGCAGCACCAAAGTCCAGTCCATCGAAAAAATCAGCATCCACAGAGAGACTACGGTAGTGGGCCAGCGTCTTAGGGTTATTATCGGAAGGCCCAGCTGATAACGCCGGCCCAGTTGACGAAGAATCAGCCGAATTTGCAGGCTGCTGCTGCTGCTGCTGCTGCTGCATGAGTGACGGCGCCTGAACATCGAGGTTGAAGTCAGGAACGACGTCGTCTAAGAGGATGTCATCGTCGAAGTTTGGAAACCGGAAAAAGGTTTCGGATTGGGCCCGGCGATGACGTGACCCACGGGTCGGAGTATCCTGCATCTGGTCAAGATCAGTTTGACCTGAATGGAATTGGGCCTGAATTGGCTTTCCGGCGAACTTCGGGTCCATTCTTTTAAACTTCTGAACTATTGATTTGGAGGCGGAGGAGGAGAAGAAGAAGAAAAAGGTGGGGGTGGGACCCAGGGATTGGCAGTAGAAGCAACGAAGAAGAGTAACATGGGTATTTTGCTGGCGGGTTGAAAGATTAGTAGAGAGCTTACAGCAAGTCAGCGACAAGCTTCCACAAAATAAGGGGTAAGACTTGTCCAAAGGACAGGTATACTTTTAATTTTTACTTTTTTAATTCTTTGAGTTCTATCGGTCATAAAAAAACAAAATCTGATTACGAGAGAAATTTGTTTTGTCAAAGTAACAAGCTACCTTTGTTTAATCCCTTTTCTACCACCAAATGATGCTAATCAATAAAATCCTTTCCCTCTTAATTAAACTTAATTTGAGATATGAGAATGAACTCTTAATGGGGCTATTTTCCCTATTAATGATGTAAATTTGGACTAATCAAGCCAATGGGTAAGTATACCAAAGTGAACCCTTTTCCTAGAAGGGCTAAGCCCACCAATAGCCATTTTCGGATTGTTGTTTAAAATAGAATCATCATTTACAATGTAGGGCAAATGTCCAAATATGCCCTTATAGTATATGAAATTGAGTGCATTTGCATTTCGTTAATATTTTAGCTCAAATATGCCCTTACCGTCACATAATTGGTCTATATATACCCTTAAAGTTACACAGTTGGCCCATATATTTCCTTTTCAAAACGGAATTCACCCAAATTAATTAGTTCTTTTTTTAATTGTATTAAAATGTATTACAAATATTATTTCCTTTTTATTAATACTTTTTTTTTTACCTTTCTCTTTTCTTTCATCTTTTTTTTTTTACTTCTTTTTTTTCCTTTTTCTTTCTCCCTTATCTGATTTCCTCCATTATTGATGTCTTCTCCATTTTCATCACCAATTTCACTTGACAAAACTCATAAATTCTAATTACTAAGAAAATTCTCACATAAGGTAATCAAGTTCCAGTTTCATTGGCCCTCTAAATAAATAAAATGAAATTATTTCAAAAATTATGGTTTAAACTTTAAAATAATAAAAACATCTCAACCTTTAACAATACTCAAAAGGCCAAAATATTTAAATTATTTCTAGAAAGATAATTTAATGATTAAAAGCCTAGAGTTCAAGTTATAGTGTTATAAATTTGAGTTGTTAATCTTTTTTCAGCTGAACATTTTCTATTTTTTTTATTAACTATGTAAATTAAGGGTGTACATGGAATGGGTTGGTTTGAATTTTTATCAAAATCAAAACAAACCAATTATATCTGTTTGGATTGTTCGATTTTGTTGGATTTTTGGATTTTTTGTTACATAAATATTATTTCAATCTTACTTTGTTAAATTTTTTAGAACTAAATATATATTCAGTAAAAATTAAAAAATTAAAAAACATATGATCTATAAAAATATTCTTATGGGAGAATTTTCTTAATAATTAAAATTTATGAGTTTTGTCAAGTGAAATTGATGATGAAAATGGAGAAGACATCAATAATGGAGAAAATCGGATAAGGGAGAAAGAAAAAGGAAAAAAAAGAGAAAAAAATAAAAAAGATAAAAGAAAAGAGAAAGGTGAAGAAAAAAAAAGTACTAATAAAAAGGAAATAGTGTTTGTAATACACTTTAATACAATTAACGAAAAAGCTAATTAGTTTGGGTGGATTCCGTTTCGAAAAGGGCATATATGGGCCTACTGTGTAACTCTAAGGGCATATATGGACCAACTATGTGACGGTAAGGGCATATTTGAGCTAAAGTATTAACGAAGGGCAAATGTGCTAAATTTCGTATAGTATAAGGGCATATTTGGACATTTTCCGTTCAATGTATTTAGAATATAGCAACAACTTAAGTGAGTGGCTGAGACCCACCCCTTAGGCCTAATTTTTGTTTTTTAAGATTAAAACGTCTAAATCTAAATATATATCTGAATATCAAGATGTGTATTAAGATTAAGATATTTGAATCTAAATACACATCTGAATATTAAGATGTGTTTTAAAATCTGAATACTAAATGATTAAGGTTGTTTGTTTTTTAAACATTTAAATATATAAAATTTATCTTTATTTAAAAATTAATAAATATATATTCAAATAAAATCCTAATTAATCTAATATTCAATTAATAATAATAATAATAATAATATAGGGGGTAGTTGGTGGTGGTGATGGTTAACGAAGGTGCTTGTAAGTGCCCCGTTAGAGGTAGTGGTTGGTGGTGATTTTGGTTGATGATGGTGGTTCTGGGTAATAGCTAGTGGTAATTGTAGCGATAGTGATTATGGTTGATGATTGAGGTGGTGGCTGGTGATAGTTAATAATGGTGGGTGGTGGTAGTGATTGTGGTTGAGGACGGTGATGGTGGGCAGAGCTGGCTATGATTATTGATGGTGATGGGGTGGTTGGTGGTGGTAGTTGAGGTGGGTGAGTGTGTTGTTATGGTTGAGGATGATGGTGGTAGGGGTGGTGGCGGTTATGGTTGAGGATGGTGGTGGTGGTAGTTGATAATGATCGACAGTGGCGGCAGTTAGTAATGAAGGTAGATGATAGCATTTTAATGAAATTAAGTCTTTATTATAGATCTTAATCATACAGGCCTATTCAGACACATTAAGTGGTTGTGAAGTAAAAAAATCAAACACACTTAATGATTAAGATCTGAATGATTAAGATTTAGACTTTAAAAACAAACGCACTTAATATCTAAGATCTATATGATTAAGATTTAGACCTCCATTAAGTGCAAACAAATGGGGGTTACCCTTAGTCTTTTTCTTTGCTTAAGATGAAATGTGTATTCTCACTTTAATTTTTATTTGTTATTTATCATAATGTAAATATCAGGTACAAATATATTTTTACCTATTATATATA